GGATTGGATTGGATTGGATTGGATTGGATTGGATTGGATTGGATTGGATTTGAATGGCCACCCATCTCACCTAAGCGACTCTGTGAAAGGCTTGATTAAATCAAATCCATGATGGATGGTGGAGGTCAATATCTGTAGACCCATCTGCTGCCAGGTATGACATATGGAAGATCGCAACTTGAAATGTAAAAGGAATAAAAAGAGCATGAATAAGGAGGGAAAAGAAAGAAGGGAAAATAGATACATTATGTGAAACTATGAAATTGAAAGGATGTAATAGATCTGAATAGGCCTGATCTTGTGAGTGAGATTGATGAACACATGCAGGGAAATGGAAGTTAGAAATTTAATGATAAATAGGTAAAACAGATGTCGGAAAATATGGATTGGGGCCATCTAGATTGCTGTAAGTGCATATGAAAGCTGGAATTAATAGGCAGTTAATACTTGCATCTTAAGCTGCAGTGGGTGGAGTTAATGGAAAAACCAGAATTGAATTTGAAGAAAAATATGAAACATTCTGAAAAAACTCAATCCAAAGTGCTGGTTTCAAACTATATTCTTTATGGCTTGGCTTCCTTAGTAGCCAAAGATTGCCCCATAGAATCATAAAATCATGAAGTTGGAAAGGACCTTAGAAATCATTTAGTCCATCCCTCTGCTCAGTGAAGGGTTCATCAGAGCATCTGTGGCAGAAGACCATCCAATCTCTGTTTGAAGATCTCCAGTAAAGGAGAACTCACCACTTCATTTAGTAGCGTATTCCACTGGCTGACAGCTTGTAGACTTATAAAGTTCCTCTCGACATCAACCTGAACTGTATAGTTTTAACTCACTGGTTTCTGGTCTTGCTCTCTGGGGCAGTAGAGTATAACTCCACTCTCTCTTCTGCATGACAACTCTTCAGATATTCTCAGTCTCCCCTTAGTCGTTTCCTTCAAGAAGAGCTGACCTTTCCAGCCTGCTCATACATGCCCATGAACACATACATACATATGAGGCAGGACTACCTTTGCTTCATTTGTCTGAAACAGCCTTCCCCTGGAGATTTGAATGGTCCCCTTTCTGCTGGTGTACAGGAATACAATTAACACAGTA